CCTCAACAACTCACCAGAACTTGTTAAGTGGTCCTTCAGCCAAAATAATTGTCCACCCCTGTCCTATCAGATTTGGCTCTCAATAATGTTTAGTCTTGCTATTCTAAATCTTGCCTCCATCTCATCATAGTTTCTAGCAAAAGTCTGGGTCTGTGGATCCATCTGTTCCCTACAGCAAAATCAGAAAGCATCCCCTCCTGCTTCAGTTCAAATGTCTGCCTTGTTTCCCCTCCAGCATCCCAAGCAGGCAGCTCTGCCTTTCAGCTTTCATTGTAGGCCTATGTGTGTTAATGCAGTGTGTGAGATTGTGACACACTGCAGTAGCTGGACCACAAGAAGGTTCTGCATTTGCTGCTTATTTATATACATACACAAGAGTGTCACATTTCCACTTCTGAGCTGGACATTGCTCTTTGCATTGGCTGAGAGGTCTTGCCTCCTAGTAGCTGAGCCCTTACCGAACAATCACTCCTGAAAGCAGAGAACTTTTCTTCTTTGTGGTGATCTTCTTGCCTTTGCCCTCAGGCACCCTGCTAGGATCTCTCTCCCATGGGAGGACATTAGCTCAACTATTTTCCCAGCTTTGTTTTTGAGCTTTCCCTATGGGGCTCATGTGCCTGTCTGCACTGTGACCATCTGACTCTAGCCATGTTTTTTTGTGTTTAACAGGAGTGGGCTGTGCAAACTCTGGTCTGTGCCTGACTGCAGTCTCGTTCACACTTTACGAGGTAGAGATGTGCTTTTATAGATGATCTTTTTCTAAGTCTCCTTGTCCCCATTCCCCTCTGAGTCCAATTACTATAGTAACCACTTCTGTTTGGCTACAGAAGTGTTGGGACCTGAATGCTCTGGATGCACTTTCTGAACGGTACTCAGGGTGTCAGCTGCTGACTGGGAGCTGAGCACAGAAAAGTTTCAGTTAATTAGGACTCACTTTCCATTGATTGCTGGTGCCCTGAACTTGCTTTTTTTCATAGATAGTTGAAATCACAGTGTTTTTTCTATTCTGTGTTGAAAAATTTTTAGACTAATATGAACATTCCTGTCCAGTCCACACTGAGTAGAATTGGCAGCTCTGTGTTCAGTAGACCAAACTCGGTTTTGAGCTTTAACCTGGTAAAACCTTTAGCACATATTCTTTCCATTCCAAGACTGTAGCTTTTCCCCATAAAATACATTACATTTTAGGAGTGTGGACACCGGCTTCAGATGCTCCAAGAGGGTGACACTGGATTTGTTGTTGGATTGGCTGCTGGGAGTAAATGTCTGGTAGCTACTTTGTAGCTTGATCAGCTTTTAAGTCAGAGTAGGAAACAACCAAGCATTCTTTGGCCTCTGCCCAGCTAATTGGTAATGAAATGAATGGTGCTTCTCTGAGGAGGTGGTAAAACCAGCCAAAATCATACCTGCAGATTTTTTACATGGTGTCTTCTTAGGGCACAACACCAATGTGGGGGCAGTTGTATTCCATCCCAAAGCTACTGTCTCCCTGGACAAGAAGGATGTCAACTTGGCCTCATGTGCAGCTGATGGTTCTGTCAAACTGTGGAGCCTTGAAAGGTCAGAACAACACTGGGCACACCGTTGCAGTGTTATTTCTTTTACTTTTTTGAGCACTTAGCAGCTTCGTGCAAGTGTGACCTGTTCTCAGTTATGCTTGGACTCTCACCTTGATACACTTCAACTTCTTCCACTTGCCAAGGGAAACAGAGTAGAGTAAGTCCTTGGCTGAGAGTCAAACAAATCTGTGTCTTGCTGAATTGTTGCCTAGAAGCCCAGTTTCGAGCAATGGACATTGCTCAAGTGCTGCTGAGGTCTTAAACCTCTGGAGCAGGATTGGGTGTTTTGTGCCAGCCCTTCATCCATAAAGAAATTCCTAGCCACTGGTAGCAAGGAGTTAGCTTGTTACATTGCCTTGGTTCTTGGTGAGCAGCAGGTTCCAAAGTGGATGGACCATTCATAACTGTGTCCCAGAGACTCAGTGGCTTAGATCAGGATCCATAACCAAGCACTGCCACAAGACACCTCTTTGCAGTGTCCAGCCACCCAACTGCTGCAGATGAGAATAATGAGGGTGCCAGACTTCAATATCTGGGTGGGGGTTTTGTGTTTTTTAAGGAAAAGTCCTGCCTTGAGTCTCCAATGAGAGGCAGATAGCTTTGAGGGCCTCTGCTCGTACCCTTAGCTTAGAAGGGTGGTTTTTAATTGCTTCTGGCATGGCAGCAATAACCCTGCTCTAGGGGGAGTTGGTGGTTTGTTTCACAAGAAGACAGAGACAATTTCCTCTCTAGTTGGCCTGCTCAGAGTGGTGTTTGTTTCTTTTTGATACTGTTTCAAACCTTCTCTTAGTAGCTGAGTTTTTTGCAGCTCTTGAAAATAAAAGGGGCTTCTGATTTTGTAAATTAATTCTTGCATTGGGGAACCTATAGCTCTGAGCTTACCTAATGAGAAGGATGTGAATCCTTACTTAAGTTTTAGCTTTGTGAACAAGTTCTAGGAATAGTAGGCAGGAAGTGGGAGTTCTGAACTCCCTGTGCTGCATGTTTACAAATGGCAGCAGAGTCTGCAGTAGTCTGGGCAAATAGTACATGCTCCCTGGAGAGAACCTAATGGTATTGGTTTATGTTTCTTTCAGCGATGAGCCGGTGGCAGATATTGAAGGTCACACCATGAGAGTGGCACGAGTGATGTGGCATCCCTCTGGGAGGTTCCTGGGCACCACTTGGTATGGGACTTTGGTTTGTCATACTCAGAGAGTCAATCATTAGCTCTTGAATTGGATGAATAAGGAGGCGTTGCTGTTTGTTTGCAGAGTGGGGTTGAAAAACTGATGTTGCCCAGTGAAGTGGAAGAAGAAGAGAGCGTATTATGCCTTGCTCACAGACAATTCAGCCTGGGTCATACCCAGCCATTATTGGCAACAAGCCACAGGTTAATCCTGTCTGTGCCACTGGAAGGCAAGTAAGCAAGGTTCTGTAAAGATATCCTTCCCTTTTCTCTCCTATGATAGACCCTCTTTTATTTTATTCCCATATTAGACAGTTAGGCTGTCTGAATAAAATCTATCCCATACAAACAGTGCAAGGTGAAATAACCTGTTACTGTTTCTGAGATGTGCTGGCTGCCAAAGTGCTACCACCAGGCTGTGCCACCACCTTGCTGTGGTTATCTTTGATGTCAGTCACTACTAAGAAATGAGCATGGGAATAATGATTCTCTCCTAAAGGGATTATAGGGCCATTTGAGTCTCAGTTAAGACCTATAAACCACTCCTAGAAGAGGGTTTAATCTACACTGCAACCCAGAAGAGTGCACATAGTCCAGGGGTATCTGAAAAGCTGGCTCCAGAAGGAGCTGTGTAGTGTAGTTCCTATGAAATACCCTTCTGTGTCCACACCCAATCAAAAGGTAGTCCTCACAGGTCACAGTGACCTACTCTGTGCTCCTCTCCCTTCCACTCCAATTCCAGGGACTTCTCCTGATTCGTGGAAATCAAGTCTCTGCTCTTTCTGGTGGCTATCCTGTGTTCATAAGGAGCAGCTTACAACATATTATGCCTGATCTTTAAAGTATTACGTGCCTCTGAATGCCCTCCCACCCCTAGTTCCATTTGAACACTGCACATGTCCAAATGCAGTGTCTGTTTTCAGGCACCCCCATGGTAAAAAATGCTCATCTTCCTAAAGGATGTGATGCTGAAATGCAGACTTGCTTTGGAAATCTGAAGTACTAAAAGCACAGGAAGGAGAAGACAAACCAGTACTTGTCACTGGGCAGGCCTATCAGCTCATCTGAAATGAGCTCTCAGCCATAAGCTGTTGTTTGCTGTCTACACAGTGAGTTCCAGGGAACCTACCAGCAGAATGAAAGCCAAGCAGTGAGCTGCAGAGAAGCACTGCAGCACGTGGGGTGAATACAGTTCCCAGTGTGTGGCCAATAAATATAGTTCCTTGTTTTTTTCTATGGGGCTCACTTAGCATAACACTAGTAGAGTGGGATAGACAGGCATTCTAACAACCCCACAGGTGTTTCTGGGTTTATGCCATATTGTGCCATGCTTTGCCTTACTCTGTGGGTGATATTTTCATTCTGCTGGCAGGCCCCATGCTCCCTTTGACTAGCTAGATGCAGCTTTCCTGTGGTATTAGAGAAGCATCCTCTTATCTGTATAATGGGGCATAGCATCAAGGACTTCCTAGTCTTCAGGGTGAGCAGGATCATTCCTTGTCACCCCATGCTGTGCAGTAAATGATGTGCTGAACTAATTTATAGAAATGGGTCCTCATTTCCTGCATGCTTATTTCAAATGTCACCACCGGGCAGCCTCATAGTCTGACTGGATTTGTGAGGAACCCACTGAGCTGAGCCGTTGTCTTTGTTTCTGCAGCTATGATCACTCCTGGCGCCTGTGGGACTTGGAAGCTCAGGAAGAGATTCTTCATCAGGAAGGCCACAGCAAAGGGGTCTATGACATTGCTTTCCACATGGATGGATCTCTCGCTGGGACTGGGTGAGATTTGCTTTATGAAGAATCTCCACGTGGAACATTATATTAAAGTTTAGTCACTGAGTCACTGTCCCTCTGGTGAATTCCCTGGGGTCGAGCTGACTGTTTCGTCTGAACTGAATGCTGAGAATTAGCATTTGGGGCTAGCAGCTGCTCTTGCAAGTCTGTCTTGTGAATGTTTGAGGGTTTTTTTTTCTCTTAGTGGCCTTGATGCCTTTGGCCGGGTGTGGGACTTGCGGACCGGGCGCTGTATCATGTTCTTGGAGGGTCACCTGAAAGAGATCTATGGGATCAACTTCTCCCCAAATGGGTAAGGAGGGAACTGGTGCAATTTAGATGGGAGCTCATAATGTCCATTCTCTACATAATGTCTGCTCTCTTCTCCCCATGGCAGATACCACATAGCAACTGGCAGTGGGGACAACACTTGCAAGGTGTGGGACCTCCGCCAGAGGAAGTGCATTTACACTATACCTGCCCACCAGAACCTAGTGACAGGGGTGAAGTTTGAACGTGAGTATCTCCCCTCCACCTCCTGGGTCTGTTTCCTAGCTAGCATTTCTCCTAGCTCATTGGTGCTTATGTGGCTTGGATGACTGAATGTGCAGTAGATGCATAAAACAGTTTGTTGGCAGCACAACCACAGAGCATAATGTTTGCCTCCAAGCCAAATAGGGCTGTAGTTTACTGTAAACAGCAGAAAAACTGTCATTCCTATTTGCAAATCTCACCTTTTCCTCTTTCTTCACTGTAGCCAATCATGGAAACTTCCTGCTCACAGGCGCCTATGATAACACAGCAAAAGTCTGGACCCATCCAGGCTGGTCCCCATTGAAAACACTGGCTGGCCATGAAGGAAAAGTAATGGGACTGGATATCTCCTTAGATGGGCAGCTCATGGCAACATGTTCGTATGATAGGACCTTCAAGCTGTGGATGGCGGAGTAGTCAGTTTAGAACTGCTAGTGATCTCGGACAAGGACTGGGAAAAAGCATCAGCCGTTGAACCAGATAGAGTGACTGGAGTCGCTGGTATTAGCTTTCAAGCTGTTTAGCTGGATTAGAGCTGGGCTGTATTCTCCTCCCTCATCTAAGGTTATTTTTGTATTCTGCCTCTTGTTTCTGAGGTGAATTCTGCTTCCCATCTCTGTGAGCATAATGCAGTTTCTCCTCTCCTTGTTTATAAATGTTTGTAAATACCCACATTCCACTTCCGCTGCTGTGTTTTCTGATGCCTATTTCGTAGCATCGTTCTGGCCCTCAGGTTCCTAGGAGCCATTCCAGGGACAGCACATCTGGAATGGTTTGGCATTTTGGCAGTCAGTTTCTGGAGTCATGCAAAAATGGTCCTTCTACCTCAGAAAATGATACTGCTGAACATGGAAGCCCATGTTCCGTGTGCTACAGGTCAATTTGAAAAGGTGGAGGATCACTCGTCTTCCCTATATAGAGCTGAGCTCAGACTATCTAGTGTCGCAGATTCCTTAGGTACATTAGGACAGCGGTTCCCAACCTCAGGTCGCAACCCAAATGAGGGGTGCAGGGGCAATGCCACTGGCACCGCACACAAAAGACAAGCCACGCCACATGCCAGGAAGCTCCCTCACCCCCAGGCTGCCACTGCCACCACACTCCACTCCCAGCAGCGGGTTGTTGGGAACCATTGCATATGGGTATTAAAACAAATTAAATGTATTCCCCTACGGTTTCTGTGTTTCTGCTAAGAGAGGAGTTGGTTTCAGTTTTGTTTCTAGTGTCACTTTAGCTCTTGCTTTTGAAAGGACTCTTTGTTTAATCTTCCCTTTCTATGGTTATAGGTTAGGGGCTGACCCTCTCAGCAGCACA